ACCGTAGTTAGGAACAGAGTAAAACGACGGTAAATGACTGTGGCGGAGATTAAGAGGTGACGCTGTGCAGAATTAATTAAAAGGGGTTGGTGTCAAAAGATTATGCTGGATTTTCTGGCGATAGCGACAGAAGAAAAACGTATTGCTGCGTCACCAAAATCGACTCAGCCATAGCTTTCCACAGTCTTGAGCCACAAGCAATTAATATTTTAATTTACATTTTTTTGGCCGCTGCCGCAAGATGCAGCGTGAAGTAAAAGAACACGATATATATGCATAACTACTAAAATATGAAATAACAACATAAACCTCCACGCTATTTTCGATCTTTGTATACATGATGTCGTTGGGACGGATCATCAATTGCATACACGAATCAGCCTGCAAAACTAAATCGTTAGTACACCAAAACAACCTTAACTCACAATTTTATAATGCGGATGGCCCTAGACTCGGATTTTTCTTCACAAGTTACTCCTATTCCTACAGAAACTGCTACAACTTCTCTAGTTTACTCGGGAAATTCATGTAATCTAGACAAAGGGAAGATTTGTACTAATGGTCTCAGATATGGATCCTAAAATCTAAGGGTCAGGGGTTTACATAGGGTTGAGAGAAGCTGGTGAAGCTGATGATGAGTCATGGACATGTGTGGTCCTTTGCGACGACACGTTGAACACAGTTTCGATACCTCGTGCTTAATTAAGTATTTGTTGTGCTTTTGATTTGTCGTGATTATTGATTTGTCGTACTTTTGATTTGTCATGCGTACAATTTTGTCGTGTTTCTAATTGATCGTGCTTCATAATTAAACACTTCATGTTTTGGGTCACCTCGTGTTTCTTGCCACCTCGTGTTTCTAAACTCGTCGTGCTTCCAAACCTGTTATACTTAATCATCTTACCCACCATGCTTGACCACTCTTACTCCCATCGTAAGTTTTGGCTTCTGTAACTGTTTTGGTCTCTTGCCAGGATTATTACCCCATAAAAATTATTCCCAAAGTCAGAAAATCTTTGGCTGTTTTTTTGTCTCGTCCAATCCTAATCTTCTGGTAGACCTCCATCAGGCCACCTTGACTTATCAATGTTGCCTTACTTGCCTTTATCACTTCACATGCCCCCACGGTTGGTTTCTAGGTTCGACGGTTTCCTAACACTCAAGCTCTGTTACTAGGGTTTCAGGACAGTTATGCTCAAAACTCTATCAATCACTCTAGGTTGTCCTACAACTCATGGTTTACCTCTTATGTTATTTACTCTAATTTC